CCAAGCAGACCTGTGATGCAGTGTCATCATCTTTCTGATAACCTTCAGAAGCCCACCCCATCCCCACCCAAGGCTCAAGTACCCACAGGGCATGGAGGTGTAAAGGGGCCCTTCCATCTGTGCCCCACAAGCCTCCCTTGGTCACCTCCATCTGCCTCACCCTGTCGGGCTGCCACATCTGACTCCCCAACCGAGTGGGACCAGGGCTCCCCGAGCCAGGAGAACAGAGCACGAGATCACAACCTCTACAGAATGAATGGGGGACGTAAGCAACGTGTGCTGGTGGAGGAGAGGGGGGCGCATTCCAGTTGGGGGACACCACACAGCGTCAGGGATTTGGCTGGCTTGCGTGGGGGTCAGTGAGCGGTGGCCATGTAGGGAGAGAATGAGAGGGACTGGGGAGGTGTATGGGTGGGGGGGAGCGAAGGTGGAATGTAACCAAGGGCCCTGAAATTCTAGGCTGAGGCGTGAGTCCGATGACATCTATGGAAAACAATTTTATTTGCTTTTAGAAGAGCACTTGAATAGTTCAGATTCCTGCCCAAAGTCGCTGACCTCTGTGCTTAATAATTTGATTTAATGGAAACTTACACAACAGTGAGGCCCACAGAGGCTGGAAGGGGAGGGATGTACGTTATGTAAGCAAGCCCTCTAGGACCTTCTTTTAAATCCTGACCATTCCAAGTATAAATAAGTATTCCCACCTATTCCCTACCAGGTGGGGGGCCCAAAAATCCACCGAGTCCTGCCCCCACCCCCTTCTCCACTGCCATCGCCCAGTCTCTTCACCAGGGCCTTGCCCTCCAGGGTCACCCTGCCCCCAGTTCACCTTCACAAGAGGTGATTGTGCTGCAGCATGAACCTGGTCCAATCACTCCAAGCTTGGAAGCCTTCAGGCCCACCAGTGCTCCTTCACACGACAATCCTGGGTCTCTCGACCTGGCTCTAGCTCCCAACGCAGGCCTCAGAGTGGGTAACTCGAGCTCTGAGGGAGACAGCCAGGTCTTCCTCCTGGTTAAGCTCCTGGCCTCCCCACTAGGGGCCTGCTATGGAGCATGTAAGTACACAGTTCAAGGTAACCTCCAAGTTCCCACTAGGTGGGCAATGGCTTCCTGGAGTTCTGACTGCCTGCTCGGCCACCTCACCCTGGAAGGGTGTATCCAAGTCTTCCAGTCCAACATTCTGACCAAAAGGCAGCAGCTCCCATGCATCTGGGGACCCAAAATGCTCTGGGCAGAAAAAGGTGGTATGACAGGGCAGGGGTGCTGAGGCTGGGCTCTGGTGTCAGATGGACCTGGGTTTGACTCTGGCTCCACCACTTACTAACCCCATTGTGGCCTGAGCCTCCCGGTGCCTCAGTTTCCCCAGCTGTACAGTGGGGCTAAGGCTAACAGGAGAACCTCCCTCAAGGGATTCTGTGCTGATTAAATGAGATGATCACTGTAAAGTGCTAACCTAGGTGGCTGGCGGGCACGCGGTTGCCCATTATAAATTGTAACTAGAAAGTATAACAAATGTATTATACTATAAATTATCAGTGGAGAGTTCCAGTTACTACGTTTTCTTATTATAAATCCTCATTGGGTTAATAATTAAGAGCAGCCAAGCCTGGGCAGTCAAAGGCTGGAATGTTTTGCAGCCATGTTGTCTGGAGGCGGGGGCGGGGGGGGGGGGTTGCTGCTCCCCTGGAAACCTGAAGCTGCAGAGCACCTTATGGGGCCACTTTCCCAAGGGTAATTAATGGCCTGTCTAAAGCCCAGGTTAGAATCCAACCACACAAACAAACAGGCCTCCTTTCCCCACCGGGCTGGGCCAGAATAGTGTCTTATGTCACTGATAACCACAGGTCCGGGTTGGAGCAATGTTGATCCTACCAGCAGTGACCTCATTTCCTTGGGATACCATCTGATGGGGCGAGGGGGCTGACCCACTGTGGTCACAAAACTGCCAGGGAGGGCCAGCCATCCATTAAAGAATAATTGTGACCTTCATTTCTTCCCAAAGTGGCAGGCCTTCCCAGGGATCAGAGAAGCTTCTGATAGCAGGAAGACCAGAACAATCCTTTTTCCTTTGGATTTTTCTGTGGAGTCCTCAGTCCTCACCCCTACAGACTCCTTTTGGGCACTCCTACACCGTGGTCACGTGGCAGCGGGGGGAGAGGGGGCATTAGGGTCCCTGCATCATGACAGATGGGGCTTCTGGCCCCTGGGCTCCAGACACACAGGTCTCTCTTCTCATTCCTGCCTCCCTCCCTCCCTCCCTCCAGCCACTCACATTGCAAATGAAGAGCCTAGCAGAGGACAAAAGGTAAACACACCGCGAACAGCCCTACAGTCTGATTACTCTACTCATCCCTCATCTTTCTTCCTCTCCAGGGAGGTGCTGGGACCAGAGTGTCCAGGATGCCCCGGGAGTCAGGAAAGGGACATCCTGGAGCAGGGCAGAAGGCAGAGCAGCAGGAACACACGTTCCTGCTCTTGGGCACGAGCGTGCCCTGTCCTGGCAAAACAGAACAAGCTGGCAGGCTTGCCCGAGTGGCCCCTAACACAGCTGGTAGCGCCCCACCTGCTCCAGTCGCAAGCTCTGACGTCACAACTTACCTGTCTGGGGCCCACTGGCTCAGCACCCTACCTCACCATGGGCTGAGCTGACAAACAGCTAAATAAGCTGCCCTCACAACGTCAGCAGGAGGTGAAGGAGGCTGTTCTCAGCTCAGGGGAGGGGACGAGAAAATTAACATTCATGGAATGTTCATTAAATGGCACGTGCTGGGTGGCCTTACCTTTTTAGCATTAGATGGGAAATAAATAGGAAATGAATAAATGCGTGAAGAGCTATGGATCCATGGATATTAAAGTATATCAGGTGCTACATTAAGTACCTTTCTGGTAAATAATCTTATTTAAACCTCACCAAATATCACATACCTTCTCTGTCTCCTGCCCTGTGTTTTTTTCTCTTTTCTTCAGAGCCTTTTTCACTAATTGATATAGTCTAGTTCTGTTCACTTGTTCATGGTTTGTGTCCACTGTTGGCATTTTCAGCTCCTCTGAGCATGGAACCACACAGCAATGAATGAGGCAGACTTTGAGGTTTCTGACTTCTGGGAGCTCAGGACCAAGAATGAGTCCCATTAATACACAACAGTGTGCATGACCTGGTCCAACCTGGTCCTACCTACTCCATATTCTATCTTCCCCACTTGCTCACTTTGCTCCAAAGCCACACCAGCTCTTTATCTGCTCTGCACGTACACCAGGTAATGCCTGCCTCAGGGCCTTTGCACTTCCTAGCGGCCCTGTTTGGAATATATAAAGCCTCCTTGGTGCCTGGGATACAGTTGGGGCTCGTTCCTTGCTGTCACACATGTACCCCACTCACCTTGCTCAGAACATGAGGGGGTTGTACAGCAGCCGCCTCCCCCACCAGGGAATGGGGTGCAGCCTGGAAAGACCAGCAGGTGTACGGCACACAGTAGGTCTTAATATCTTGCTGCTGTCCCTGTTTCCAACTCCGACTCATGATGGGGTGACCCCTGAGACACCAGTGGCCCAAATATGCACAGAGCCACCCCCCATTAGGAACTGAGTGGGACAAAGAACCTTCTCTGACCCCTGCATGGTCAGGGGGTCACATATCTTGGGAAGCAGACAAACCTCCCCAGACCTGGAAGCTTTGACTCTGGTGTACCCTCCTTTGTTTGGCCAGCAATACTGAGAGCCAGAGAGGTTTGGCAACCTGCCCAGGGTCACATAGCAAAGTGGTAATCAAGCAGAAGCCTGGCCCTGGGTCTCCCGATGCCTTGTCCAGAGCTCTTTCCACCACTCCATGAGACCCCCTGGGCTTTGGTGCCATCAGGGTTAAGAATAGGATCGGAGGGACAGGGAAGGCAAACTGTCCCAAACCAGCGGAGGGCAGGAATGACATGATTTGGCTGGCGGGTGGTGGTGGGGAACAGATAAGACCGACACACCTGTGGGTTCAGGAGACTGGCGGACCTCGGGAGCCCCCTCCTCAGTGTATGAGCATGGGCAAGTCCCTCCACCTCTCTGAGCCTCAGTTCTCCTCCTCTGTAAGGAGGTAAGTACATCCCAGGGCTGTCTGAGGATTAAAGGTGGTAACACTTCCGCAGCTACGAGGCCTGTCTTGGGCTAAGCAACTATGTTTTTTGTTTCCTATTGTATTGTGGCTGAGAGGGAGGCAAAGGAAACCAAGAAATTCCATGAGCGAGAAAGAAAATTCCCGTGTTGGAGAAGGGAGTGGGTGGCCAGGGCCCAGCCCCATGATGACTTTCTGAGTTGTAAACACAGGAATGAAGAGGCTTGGAAGCCTTGAGCCAGTGGCCAAGGCAGGAAGCTCTGGGGTCTAATGCCACCTCAGGGCAGCCGATGAGGCCGAGACTGAATAATCCCAATGGCATTTTTGTTACACATACCCCAGAGCACTTACTAGGTTATCTGGGCAAAGGATGATTCTAGAAATCGGGTATCGATTCACAATGCGTCAAGCACTGCCAGGAAGCCCACGTTGATTCCTCACGGAGTGTGGGCCTCTGAGCAGGGAAGGGGGCTTAGTTGTGGGGGCTGGGTTCTGATGTCAGCAGCCCCGCCCCCCTCGGCTAGGAAGCTGCACCCGTTTCTCTGAACTCCCCCAGCTTTCACATCAAATGACCCTGCGATGATTCAGAGGGAAAAAAGCCCACTGGCCAAACAAAAGGGACAGCAGAGACGGGCCCATGATTTCTGTTCATCTGAGTACCCAGGAGGCCCCCCCCCCCCAGAACAGAACCCGAATGTTCTCTTTGGCTTCAACAAAACAGTGTTTGCTTTCGCTCTAACTTCAAAACCCTTTTAAGAAATAGAGGAGTGATGGACGCCACGGGCTTGGATATGAGAGAGTTGGAAGGTTCAGAGGTCTCTCTCCTTTTTAAAGCCCCTCCCTCCTCTCATCTGGGGTCACAGAAAGCTCTAGAATGCCTCCTGAGGGGGCATGGAACTTACACTTCCGTCGTTATGAATCCGGTGAGCTCCGAGAGGAAGAGGAAGAGGATGAAGAGGCAGCAGCAGATAGAGACTGGAAGGAACAACACAGAGACACACCATTAAGGGTAGAGGACGCCAGCTGAGGGGGGCTGGTCCTTCCCCACCCCTCCCCTCCCTTCCCTTCCCCCTGCCCTCTGAGGAAAGCTGCTTAGGGGGAGGGGGAGAGAGGCCCCACTGACACTCCAAAGCCCCTTCTTAGTCGAAGCAGCCCTGTTCCCAGAAAGCTAGACTGTCTTTGGTACTGAGCTGACCCTCCTGTGGGGACTGACCCCCATAGGTAGGCAGGTCTTCAGGGCGGCCAGCCTGGCTTCCTTCCACACGAGCATATTAATGCAGAGGTCAGTCAACAACAGAGGTTGCAAATTGGTGGCCCACAAATGTATACTGTTCAGCAAAAGTGGTATGGATTTTAAAATCCGGAGATGACACTGAACAATATGATCTCACATAAAAGTCCAGATTTCTGGCTGCTCCCCCACACTCAAGCCCTTGTTCCCACGTGGGGTCTGAGCTGGCCAGTTTGCCATAGGCCCCACCACTCCCTCTTGTCTCCCTGATTCGCAAGCTGAGGCCAACTGTCTGTCACTGTTTATTGCCACCCCCAGCTGCACCATCAACACTGTGCCCCTGTCCTCACCAGAGTTCAGAAAATGGGGATAACTGAGCACTTGTGCCTCAAGAGAAGAGACAATTCTTTATGGGAGGACTTCTTTACACAAGTCTGAAATGCAGGGAGAATGGAACAAAGCTCCAGAGTTGGCCCACATCACTCGTATTTATCTCGTCTGCTGAGCTCCCGACAAGGATGAAATCTGTGACCCCTGGAGCCACAACTGGGGGCAAGACATAACCAGTGTCCCAGGATCTGGCCCTCAGCTCCAGCCCCATCTCCTTACACTCTCCCAACATCTAACATCCAGCCACACTGAGCCATGTGCCATTCTGTAGATGTGTCTCACTGCTGTTCCTTTGTTCCTACAGTTCCAGCCCCTCCTCGTCCTCCCTCCTCTTTCCCCTCTCCCTCCCCTTCATCCTCCTTTCTGCCAGGTGAGCTCCTTCCTGTCCTCCCGGGCCAAGGCCCAGCTCAAATATCTCTTCTGGTGGGAAGCTCCCCTCACCCCAAGAGGTGGAGCTGGTCCCTCTTTCCTCTGTGTTCCCAGAATCTATTCTCATACTTTCCACATTTTATTGGCTATTTGTGGCTGCTTTCTCTCACTAAGCTGATATCCCTGTAGGCAGAGACCCCACAGCTCCAGTGCCTGGCCCGGAGCTGGGCACACAGGAGGGAGTAACCGACAAGGAGGCACCCCCAAGAGTACAGAATGAGGGCTGAGCACGCCTAGTCTGGCTTATCACAGAGGTGTGCCGTGGGCAAGGGCTTACAAAGTATGGCCCACGGCTCACCTGCTGTAGGTCTCTGAGTAAGTTACTTACCTCTCCCTGCCTCCATTTCCTCATCTGTTCAATGGCAACATGCCCTGTGGGGCTGCTCTGAGAATTTCCACCACATAGAGACTGGGCTTGAAACAGTGCCTGGCAGGTAATAAAGGCTCGAGCATTCACTCATTATTAGGACTTTTCATCAGGGAGACCCTGGAGGGTTTGGGAAAGGTGACTGACAAATGGGGTGACCCGTAGTTTCCTGCAAAGAAAAAAAAGTTCCTGGTCCCACTTGCTGATTCTGCTACCTTCTTGATGGCCTGCTCCTGGACTGGCTGAGCACTGTGATAAATGCTAAAACCAGTCATCATCCATCCATCCATCCATCCACCCACCTACCTTAAAATGGACAAAGATGAATTCCGAGTGAAGAAGGAAGAGGGTAAGAGTTTGCTGGGCGCCTACTACGTGCCCTGCCGTGGGAGCATGAACAGTCACCCTGACATCTCACACTCTCGCCTGACGGGGGCACACGCCCCTGTGAAGTATGTAGAAATGGTGGCTCAGAGAGGAAGAGACCAGGTCCGGGAACACACTGGAAGGCAGGTGGGGGGACAGGCCTGGAACCTGTGAATTCTAGAGGCAATGCCCTGAGAAAAGAAACTCCAAAATCTAGGACTCCCAAGTGAAGAGCAAGACAGGGACATCCCCAGAGTTCCAACCACATCTCTAAAACCAGACCAACCTACAGGATCCTAGAATGACTCTCCAATTCTCCAAACACTGAAAAAGCTATATGGGGCAGTAAGTATTAAAGGGTTTTACTTTGTTTTTTTTTCCTTTTCATAAGAGGTGACACATACACATGGTAAGAAAAATAATCAAGCTGCTTAAAAAGGCGGAGGGTGTTGAGTCTCTTTCTCACTCCTGATCTGCAGCCCCCTGCCCAGAGGTATCAGCATTATGGTCTTGCATCCTTCTACAGGCATTAAGCATAGACGTATACATCCTTTTTTCCTCCAAGAAAACAACAGCATAACATATACAACCTTTTCAACCATGCTTTGCTCACTTGGCAACCTATGCCTAAATACATGCCGCATGAGTTTATACGGAGGGGCCGTGTTTGCTTGCTTGCTTTTGTGGCATAGAAACGAATTTCAGCTGTCTTCTCCAGCGGCTGGACCAACGCGCTGCACTCCTGCAGCCACCCGTTCTAACTTCCCAGCTCATGTCCTTCTCTTTCTCACCCGCAAACTGCAGCTAGGATACATAGGAAAGAATCCCCCCACCAGGCAAAACATCCTTCACCTGGAATCTTCTAGGATCACATAGCACTGGCATTTCAGAACCATTTTCACCCCTCCCAAACCACGCTCAAGCCCCAGCAACCCACTGGATGCTGTAATGGAAGGCCCAAAATAGGGAGGTATTTCTGAAGGTCAATGTTGACCTAGACCAAGCCAGGTCTTCTAACTGCCTTCCTTCCCCCAAGCCTGCAAAAGCACCCCAAACCTCTAACTCAGTCCAGATCGGAGGATGGAGGGACAGGGATTGGAAGGCTCCTTTCTGAAATCTGTGTGCTCTGTCCAAGGCCTGGATGAAGCCTGGTCAACCCAGCAGGTGGACACAGTAAGCACTGAGTCTGCTCAGCTGAAACCCACTGTCCAATAGCCCTGATCACAGACACTCTGTGACTGCTCACCCTACAAGTACCCCATACTAGGAGGACAGAGACAATGTCTCAGTACCACAGTGGCCCCAGGGTCTAGCACAGTGTCTGGCTCAGAGAAGGTACAAAATGAATATTTGTTGAATGAATGAATGAATGAATGAATGAATGAATGAATGAATGAATAACATAAAAGGCAGGTAGGCGGTATTTCAACCAGAAAGGCCTTTCTGATACTGAAGGCTTGATGAGGGTTTTCCATCCATGTTTGGGCAAGAAGCTAAGGCTCTCCGATACCAGACTTCTGAAACAGACTCAGGCAGGGGACCGTAGGACTGTGACCCCTAGAGAACACGTGCGAGTGGGAAACCCGGTGCAGTCCACAAAAGGGACACGGGACCCAGGACCAAACATCCAAGACTCTGGGAAGTCAAGGAATTTGTCCAAGGCCAAACGGCCTCTTAAGTGAAGGAGGCAGAATTCAAACTGTGATCTGTGATTGTCCAGCGCCCTTGCTGTTTCCTTCAGTTATTAAGAGCACAATCGCAATGTAATGAGACAGGATGGTTTTGTGTCTGCTGCCCTGCTAAGCCGTGCGTTCCTCAAGGACAAAGACCGAAGCCCATTCATCAACACGATCCTGGGACTTGGCACGGGACCTGGCCCCAGGACCTAGTTAATAAATATTTGTTCACTAAATGGTAGCTAAGGGCTGGCTTCCCATGCCTCACGCCTTTTTCCTCTTGTGTAAAGGAATTTGCTGTCTTGCATGCGGTGGCTGGGACTGCAAATCAGACCACATCCCTGGAGGGCCATCTGGCAGTACCTTCTAAATTTTACAATACACATGTCCTTTGACCCAGTAACTCCTCTTCTAGGAAAGCTACCTTACAGAAATAACCATACAAGGATATAAAAATATATGGACAAGGATGTTTGCAATAGCAGTAAATCGGAATCAAGAATGTCCACCCCAGGAGACTGGTTACATAAACCGTGGGTTGCCCAGATGATGGCAACTGTGGGTTGCCAGACACAGCGGGAGGGTGGAATGTAGGGGGCCGTTTATGTGCCGGTATGAAAGGTATCCAGGATATATCAGTTGGAAAAAAGGCAGGGAAGAGTGGTGTGCACAGTATGCTCCCTTCTCTGCTTATGACAATAATATCGGTATATTCAAGCGTGCATCTATTTTTTAAAACTTCCAGGAGGATACAGACCTGACTGTCACATATACTTGGTAAGGGTGAGACCACAGAGACCATGAAGCAGAGGTCTGAACTGATGGCTGGTGGCAGGGAGGGGACAGGACACCTCACTTAAATTTTTGTGACCAGGCTCATAAACTAGTAGGACAGATAGATGAACACGCCCCTTGCCTCTGACGTGCCTTGAATATCCTCTTCGTGGGGGACACAGGCACCAAGCATCACAGCATCTGCTGTCACGGACCTTCACAGGCTGGGGGCTCCAGGAGATCAGTGACAAGAGGAGGGTAGTCCAAGCACTGAGGACTTTGCGCATATCCCACACTTGACAGGTGGCAACTCATTTATTCCCCGGATCAGAAAACTGAGAATCAGAGAGAGGTGAAGTGACTTGCCCAAGGTCACCAACCACTAGATGGGAGAATGAACCCAGCTCTGCAAGACCTGAAGCCTGTAGGACATGCATCCTGTTACCTGGCTGCTCTGTTCCCCTCCCCAGCAATGTGGGGATCCAGGGCTGTGGAAGGCACCCACAACCTCAATGAGGGAGGGCCGGGCAGGCCCAGTTGGGGTCATCCCCAAGGTCATCCCCCTACCTGACAATGGCCCACCCTGGGAGGCAGCAGTGGGTTCCAACCTGACTGCCCAGCCCCAGAGCCCTGCTCAGGGGACAGTCCACGGGGAGGATCCCTCCCCCACACCAAGCACTGGAGAGGCCAGCAGGGGGTCAGGCGGGGGGTGCAGGAGGCATACGAAACTGCAGACAAGTCACTTCACCTCTCTGGACCCATTTTCTCATCTAGAATATGAGGTTATGAAGTATTCCTGCTTGCATGGCGCTTTTAGTTTGTTTTTAATAAACTTCTCATTGTTGAGTAATACTAGATGCACAGATAGTACAGAGAGTTCTCATATGCCCTTCATCCAGCTTCTTATGTTAACATCTTATATAACCATGGTACGGTTGTCAAAATGAAGAAATTAACACTGTACAATACCATTAACTAAGCTACAGACTTCACTCAGATTTCACCAGTTTCCCCACTAATGCTCATTTGCTGTTCCTCAACATGACCTGGGATCCCACTTTGCATTTAGTCATCCTGTGTCCTTAGTCTTGAATCCACTGACAGTTCCTCATTCTTCCTTTGGTTTTCAAGACCTTGTCACTTTTGAAGAGTACTGGCAGATGTCTCTAGAATGTCCCCCAACCTGGGACTGGCTGATGTTTTCCCATGATTGGACAGGTCTGTCCTTTTTGGGACGATCCCTTGGAGGGGAGGTGCCCTTCCCATTCCATCCCATCAGGGGTGTGTGACATCCACAAGACTTCTCACTGGTTGACGTCAACCTTTATCACTTGGTTGAGGTGCTGTCTCTGGGTAGCTCCACAGGGAAGTTACTCTCTCCTTTCCGTTCTCTGCTCTTTGCAAGTGTTTTGCTGAGTCCAGCCCATTCTCCAGGAGAGGAGAATGAAGCTTGACCTCCTGGAGGGGGACTTATTCAGATACATTATTTGGAATTCTTCTGTAAGGAAGTGTCACCCCTTCTCTCCCATTTATTTACATCCGTACAGACTCATGTTCCTTTTTGGTAATTCTTCAGCACATGAGGCAATTGTGCCGTGATCTGTTACTCAGATCGCCCCAGTGTTGGTCTTTGGCCCCCTTCATGGTGCTCCTGTTTCCTGCTGATGCACCTCCAGCCTTCTCTTTCCTCTGGAGCTTCTTTGCTTTTTGGCCCAAGCTTGATCCACACTTACTCTGTGCTCTTCCTGCCCCAGCCCTGGAAACAGCTATTTCTTCAAGGAGCCTTAGGTCTTTTTACTGAAGACTGGCATTTAGAAACCAAAATCTGGGGTGCCTGGGTGGCTCAGTTGTTAAGCGACTGCCTTCGGCTCAGGTCATGATCCTGGAGTCCCTGGATCGAGTCTCACATCGGGCTCCCTGCTCAGCAGGGAGTCTGCTTCTCCCTCTGACCCTCCCCCCCCTCATGTGCTCTCTCTCATTCTCTCTCTCTCAAATAAATAAATAAAATCTTAAAAAAAAAAAAGAAAGAAACCAAAATCTGGTGCAATTACTATTATTATTTAATGATTAAAAACATGCTTATGTCAAAAATTCCAGTAGTCTAAAAGGTATGAGGGCAAAAGTAAGTCTCCCCCAACCCCTGAGCCCCCGTCTCCCCTCCCAGGGGCAATTACTATTGATGATTCCAGGTGTATCCTTCCAGAAACAGACGATGCCTATACCTTGCAGGGTCATGGTGTGGACAGATGAGGAACTATATGAAGGGCTGGCAAGATGCCCATCCTTTCTCCTCTCCTTCTTTCCTCTCTGGTTCAGCAGCTCTGCTCGGGCAGAGCAGGCCCAGGTATGGCATGGGGGGAGGGGCGGGGGGCAACGGCAAGAAGGACACTACTCACTAATGGCCCCGGTGTATGTCGGCTGCGTGAGGTCCTTGGGCACCTTCCTGTAGATGTCAAACCTGCAGAGAGCAAAGGGGACAGGGGTGAGGTGGGTACAAGGGTGCAGGTCTCAGGCAGCAGGGGAGATGGTGTCAGCCAGGATGCCACCTGGTGCGCGAGCCATGGTTCTTCCCAGAACCAGCTTCTCCCACTCTTTCAGGCCACCTCCTCCAGGAGGCCTGCCGGACCCCCCCTCTGAGGGGACCCTGCCCTCAGGCTAGTACTGCTAGTACTTTCTCACAACACTTAAACTACCTGAAATGACCTTCGTTTGGTTACGTTTCTGGGTTGGTCTCCGCCCCCCCCATCCCAATGGAACCGCCACAAGGGCAGGGACCTTGTCAGGTTTTGTCCTCTGCCATGTCCCCAGACCCTAGCATGGGCCTGGGGCGTAGCAGACACTCAGTAAGCACTTGTGGAACAAACGGAACCCACGTCTTGGGCTTTGCTAACAATGAGGAAATAGGGAAACGCAGTCTTTCCTGAGTTCCATGACGGCACTGCATTCTTGCCCGGAGTCACCTCTCCTCCCCCTCTTCCCTTTCCTGCCTCCCCTTGCCCCTCCTGTTTCCACTCCCCCCTGCCCCAGCTCCTGCAGCCTGCCTGTGGGGATTCTCAACTCCAAGGCATGAAGTTAACGTAAAATCCTGCCTGAGGCCCACAGGCTCGGCGTTCGCTTGCCAAGGCTCTGGCTCTGTCAGACAGGGGTTTCCTCCCTACACACGGAGCAGATGCCTTTCTCTCCTATGGGCCCCACCAGAGCAAACGAGGGTCATGGGGGTGGCAGAAGATTTGGGGGCTTGGGAGGCAGACAGACATGGTGTCATTCTGGCCAGCTATTTAATTAAGAGTGCAGGCCTTGGGAGCAGACCACCCTGGGTTCAAATCTTGGGCTGGTCTTCCTTGCTGTGTGACTTTAGGCAAATGGCTTCACCGCTCTGAGCCTCAGTTTCCTTGTTCGTGGCTACTAATACCAGGCCCTGCCAGGTCACTGAGAGGAGTATGGAAATGAGTGCCTGTGGCGGATTTACACAGCATTCACAGAGGAGGCTCCTCGCACACTTGGCTTCCTTCCTGTCACTTGAACCTGAGCAGACACTTCTCACCAAGCAGAGCTCTATCACCAGAGTGCTAAGTCCACACCGTGCTCCCCGGCTCTCCAGCAGGACTTGGCATAGTGAAGCCGCCGGCCGCTCCAGCTCTCAGGGGTGACCAGTTGGCACGTGGTTCCCCTTCGGTGATGGGGAAAAGCTGTCAGCACCCCACTAACCTCACTGCGATGACTTGGAATCTTGCGAAAGATCTGGTATTTGCCTACCGTGCACTCACTCTAATTGCACGTGAAACGTGCTGGGTTTCCTAACACCTCAGGGGAGAAGATATTCCTGGGACTGCCAAGTTAAAAGGCAACACTTTCCCTCCTGCCTGCTCAGCTACCAGTCATCTGTTCTTGGGCCCCTGAGGGGCACTAGTAACGGGCTGGGAGTGTGGTCAAGAGGGAGGGGTCCACATGACTCAATTATCCAGACCTACTCATCTCCCCTATTCTGAAACGCTGACCCCTTTCGCTGTGAGAGGCATATGAGAGGTAAGAACATGTATGAACTGTGGAATTAGCCCACCTGGGCTCAAACATAACTCCACACTGTGCGACCCTGGGCATGTCACTGACATAACCGTTCTGCCTCAGTTCCTCTGGCTGTAAAATGGGGGCAACAATACTATCTCACAGCATAGCCGTTAGGACCAAGTGGCTTCATGCATATAAAGCACTTAGGACCATGCCTGGCTCCCAGGAAGTACTATAAGAATATTTGCAGTTACTATTATTAATATTCATCTGACTAACATTCATGAACACCTAATATGTGCTAAGTCCTCTTTTAGGCACTAGGAACACACGTATAAAAATCGGCCCTTGGCCCCACGTGCCTATAGTTTAGCAACAGAGACAGACAAGGCAACGGGAAGAGGATGCCGTGGTGCTCCCTCACGGGGTTTGCTGACGGTGCCGGAGGAACCCAGGAAGTGCACCTGGGGTAATCCATGAAGCTTCTGGCAGCAGGTGATGTCTGAACAGAGCAGGAGGCTTGGAGGAAGGGTGGGTGGAGCCATAAAGTAGTTCAGGTAGAGAGAACAGCAAGAGCAGAGGCCAAGAAAGAGGACTGAGCTTGGCGTGCTGGAGCACGGAGTTGACGGGCACGCAGTGCTAGGACAGGTGGGAGGGCCGGGCACCAGAGGCGGGAGGGGCTTACAATCCAGCTTCCCTGTCCAGTTAATATCAGGTCACCAGCCAGGGCCCACAGGCCAAAACTGGGCCTCATAGTGTAAAAGCTATAAACCATCATTCCAAGACTGGGAGTTTCATGGGAAGTCAGAGGCTGCTCAGGGTGGGGAGGTGGGGGTAGCTGGGGGCAGAGGTTAGAACCTAATGAGGGTGAAGAGGGGAGAGATGGGAGAGTGATACACGGGTGAGGGTGGGGGGGACACACTAAATGAATATGTAAATACAGTGAGGATAATGGGGGCCAGGTGCCTCACTGTTGGGGAAGGGAGGTATACATGGAGAGAAACATAGAATAAACTGTGGTGCTAGAGTGGACATGGAGGTTTCACTGTGAATTCATGATTTTCAACAGATACGAATACAGAAATACACGTCATATTCACATACATTTCCTAGCTCATTCCATGAGAGGGTCCAGGAACTGTGACAGCCAGATAGCAAAGAGGGCATCTGATACTCAAATGTTGGCTTTTTTTTTTTTTAATTTTATTATGTTATGTTAGTCACCACACAATACAAATGTTGGCTTCTAAATATCATTCTTTACTCGGAGAAAAGGCTGGTTCCAGGACTAGGCAGGGAAAAAACAAGATGAACTTGGAGCACCTTCTTATGTCAGAAAGCAAGAAAGTGTTCAAAGAATGATGGGGACCTGGCCAAAGAAAGGACAATGTGAACATTAAAATCAATAATCATAGGAATAGATTATAACCCATTGAATAAAATAGGAAACCACAAATCTATATAAATGAATAAATCAAAAGTATGATGAGGAGCAGGATATTTCTTCAAAGTACCTCCCCACAAAATCCTTTTTAATTACAAAGGGAAAAAGAGTAACTTTACAGTTGAGAAACTTGACATCATCTTAACCAAGTGACCAAAATGAGTGTCACCAATAAGGAGACATATCATGTGCCTCCTGATCTGACATACTGGGGAAGGCACACCATAAAGTCCTGTGGGGGATCTTGCTCAGAATGTAAAACCTCAAATGAATCATGAGAAAGCAACACACAAATCCAAACTGAGGGCTCATGAGTGGCCGGTACTTGTCAAAAGTATCAATGTCATGGGGGCAAGTAAAGGCTAAAGAACTTTCAGAGATTGGAGGAGACTAAAGAGACATGACAACTAAATCATGCAGGATATCCTGGATGAGAAAAAGGACATCAGTGGGACAATGGCTGGGATCTGAATAGGATCCATGTATCAATTAATACCTCTGTATAGTGTTGTTTTCCTGGTTTTGATAGTGGTATTTTGGTTATGTAAGATGGTAGGTAACTTTTGGGGAAGCGTGGATAAAGGGCATAGGGGAAGTCTTTGCATTAGTTTTGCAAATTTTTTTGTAAGCTGGAAATTATGGCAAAATAAAAAGTTAAAAAAATGTGTTTAATTTAATGGAATTTAAGAAAAACAATTTAAGGGGGAGATTTCACATAAAAATCCCACACAGCTGCTTTCTTCACACATACTGGATCCCTGTAGGCATCTGATTTTGAGGGGCTGGCTTAACAAATGTTTGCTGGGTGTCAAGAGTATGTCTTTGTTGGGGGTGGGAAGAGTAGGGGGAAGGCTGAGTGAACAATGGTCTAAGAGAGGAGGGTAGACTTGGGCCAAACTATTGGAGGCAATGGTGATCAAAGGAAAGAGGTGCTTTGGAGAGAATCACTGATGTGAAACCAAGATCACTACCCAGCTTGTGCTGGGTACTTTTACATACACATATTCACATTTAATTCTTATGATAACCCTGGCAGACACGGATATCCCACTTTTCCAAGGAGAAGACTAAGGCTAAGCTATAAGCCACTTGTTCAAGGTCACCAAGCCCGTGACCAGTACAGCTGGGAATCAAACCCAAATCTGAGTCATAGGCCATGGTCCTTCCACTGCCCTGTATACTTGTGGGAATCAGGATAGAGCTCACCCATTGGTAAGTTAAAGTCTCAAGGTTTTGCTTACTTTTCCACAGATGCTGCCCTAGAGCAGTGGGAAACTCCTGGAAGACATGGACCAGCTCAAAATACATTACTTTATTCAACAGATACATACTAAGCACTTGCTGGCCATATTCTAGGCGTAGGAAAATGGAAGTAGTCAAGGTAGACATGGGTCCTACCTTCATGAAGTTGCCGGTCTAGTAATGCTTTTGACTCCTTGAGAAGGGCCACCTAAACATAATGTTCTCTAATAACTACCCCATTCCCACACCACAAATCTCAACTGGGGAGTGGTGGTGGGGTAAAGGGAGAGCTGAAAAAGACCCTGGGTACAGAGCTGACCACAAGCCAAGTGAGTCAGCAGTGAATGTCACTAAGAAAACGGGCCACAGGAAGGCTGGTGAGAACCCAGCATGTGACAGACTGGGAAGTGAGCCGTCCTCTCTGACTTACATTAGTCAGTCCCTCATTGTGGTCATGTGGTGATGTGATTAGCTGTGGCCACCCAGTGTCAAGAGAATATGGAGGAAAGGGTAAAGAGTGGAGGAGGGGGAAAGGGATTTTTACTGTATATCTCATGTGTGCTCAGCTCATGCTATGCCTTTGACTGGCATGTTCTCACTCAATTCTCTTGGCCAACCTTCAAGTTAGGGATTTTTAGCCCATTTTATAGATGAGGCTCAGAGAGGCTGGCGGTTTAGCTAAGCTCACACACCTGTGAAGTGCCACAGCTAGGAATCTGAATCCAGGCCTAATTCATGTTCTTGCTACTTTTCCCAACAATGTG